CCCCGCAGACACAGGTGGTCCCAGGCTACATTGACGCTGATGCTGCGCCACGTGCTGTGCGTGTTAGCCCTCGCGCTGTGCTGCTGCACGTCTGTGTGCGTGGCAGTAAGTGACGTACCTAGGCCCACAGTTGTACTGGGAGTTTCGAATGATGATGCCGAGATATCGCTGACGGAGACAGTTGATGCCAGCAGCTGCACAGAAGCGTTAAATTCAGCCTCTGGGGAGCCCAGGACGGTTACCATTTCCACAGCACCCACTTTGACGAAGCGGAGTGGGTCAGGTACATTTCCACGGCAGACGGAATCAGAGAGGGTTATCACCGTTCCAGATGGGTACAAGTTAACGCTGAAGAGCTCACTGGTTCTTGAATGTACGAGAAAAGGTGAAGCGGCGTCTGCGGCCACTGACAAAACGTGTACCTTCAGCGAGAGCGCCACAGGTGCCGACTACATCAAGTATGATGTCACTGTGGAGACCACTGCAACTGCTGACAAGATCAAAAATACCATCGGAAAAGAAGAACGTAAAGTGAGTGTCCCAGCTACGTACAATGTGAAAGCTGTCGGGACGGTTGTTGTCACATGCATTCCTCCGACTCCAGCCCGGCCATCTCTCTCCCCCGCAAAGTCCCCTGCTCCTCGCGGAGAACTGGAGGTATTGACTACGAATAGGGACCATGAGAAAGTGTCTTCCTCCCGGGGCTCTCAGCTTGACGGAAACACTAACAATGGAGCGAACGGGAACACGGCCACTCAGGGAGCCGGGTCATCTGAGAAGCCTGAGGCCACTGCCGACGTTTTCGCTCCAACTTCGAGCGAGAAGGACGACAAAGAAACAGACAACTCCGTCACAGTGGGTGACGCCGATCACGCTACACCTCAATCAGAGACCACCACCGAAGGGGCTACCAACACTGATGCCGGTACGTCCATCTCTGCGGAAGAGGACATGAAGCTTCCTGACCACAACACCGACGCCAGCAGCAGCACTGCGTGGGTGCGTGCCCCACTGTTGTTGCTGCTGGCCTGCGTGGCCGTGTGGTAAAACATCTCTGTGTGTGT